ATTTTCGTTAGTGGGTCGTAGAAAAAATATACTGACCATATCGAGTGGATTGTTCATATTACAATCAGACGATTGAGTACTCCGCATACGACGTCGTGCTCAAACTTCGTCTTTGTGTGATATTGCTATCATATCCACCCTTGTTGAACAAACTATAATTTATTTGTTTTCTTGGTTTAAACCAAAACTTAAGTTTTACATCAGAAATAGGAACTAAATTAATTTACTTTTCAAGTTTTCTTATAAAAATCGATATTACTTTCTCCAAGTACAAATTTAGTACCTACCTAAAATAAGTACTAATTATGTAATATCGTGTAATATTGTAATTCAAATTTCACATTACTATAAAGTTTCAAAATTCCCTACTTCGGTATGGTCAGATAAAAATTGAATATATTATATTAATAAAAACTGTCAAAGTATTACTTCTACAAATCTGTATTTCAATTAATAAGAATACATCTAAATATAACCAATATTGTTAAAATAAAAGCACAAATTCTTTATAATTCCAAAATACCATAGAGTTCCCAGACCTCAGCCGAAGCATTCGTTTATCTAGGTATAAACCCTTTGTCGTGAAGTGACTGTTTTAGCTCAAAACATTTGTTAACGAAGATTTTACTAGCCACATACAAATTATTTTACCTCTAATCCGAAAGATGTGCTATTTTTCGTAATATTTATATTTAAATAATGTTTCTAATTATATTTGACAGATTTAAAACAAATTAAAAATTTAATTTCCCAAAACTTACTTAATATGGCATGTAACCAACCTTATTACGCCAAGGTTTTCAATTTTTTCAATAATAAAAAAATTGTTTAATCCGGGCCCGACTTTTCCCTCGAATCTAACAGAGATAGCACCATTCCGTCTTGCTTGGTTCTCGACCGCCAGATCAAAGACGCCGACACGGAGTTGTGGAGCTGTCTTGTATAAGCTGTGTTATTACAAGCTTTTAATGAATGAAAATATCAACTCAAATGTTGATAAAATATTTTGCTAGTATTACAGAAATTGATTTAAATAAATCTCATGACCAATTTTTTTCTACCAACGATACTTCAAAAGGTTAAACATTTACGAAGTCTCAATATAAGCCTAGGACTGGTATGGAAAACATAGCTTTGAAAATGTCCAGGTATCCGGAGCAGACTGGCTTCTGTTATATTATAAATCTACCTATGAGTGAGATTACATTGACTAGTTCGCTCACCAGTGTCGTAGGGCCTACCGGTTCAGGAGGAAGAAAGGCCGGCCCACCTACATATTTTTTTCATGGTCCGATTCATTGAAGAGCAAAAAAGACCCTCTTTGCTCTCTGATCCTTTTTCCGAGGTCACCACGTATTACGGGGTTATCTTTGTTCTTCTCAAGAGCCTACGTCTTGAACTAGGGCCAATTACTTGAACGAGGGCCTACTGATCTTTTAACCAGCAAAACATTGCAAACTATAGGTCTATTTCGGTACTGTCATTTCAGAAAAAAATTAAAACCTAGTCTATGATAGAACAATAAATTAAGCAGAGGAGAGCAGTAAGAGGAGGCAGAGCAGGAGTCACAGAGTAAGAAAAACCAGAAGTCATAGAGAAAAAGAAAAAAGAGTCTTTTATTGGTTTTAGATGTCAAATATATAGTTTTATTTTTGAAATTGTTTATAGGGAGCCATAGGAACCAGATTTTAGAGTTTTTCGTGAACTTTGGAATGGTTTCACCCTTTTGGGCTGAGCTTGATAGGCAAAAGCATATGCCCGGTCTGTTTTTTGATCTGACGCGTACTTTTAACTCTCTAGATATAATATTTGTCACGAATAAACTTCACAATATAGGATTTAGAGAGATTATCTTGGATTGAATAGTCAGCTTTCTGTCAAAATCTAGGATTCATTATCTGAAACAATATTAATACGAGAGTCACTCAAAGGTCTGTCCTGATGCCGCTTATTTTTTTATTACTCATAAATGATGTATCTTAGTATATAAGGTCTAAAATATTAGTCCTTATTTTGTTGTGGTACCTCACTAGTGATATCAGTACAGTCATTTAAGCGTTTCCAGATATGTATTCAGATTATTCACAATTTCATAAAATTGTGCAAAGAAAATGGTTTAAGTAATGATTCATTTTGAACAAATACACAACTTATATATTTTTATCATCTAAACACGCCATCTGGTCCAATCATATTAGGGGTTTCACCTCGGAATAAGAGATAACGAGCTGAAATTCGTATACATCCTCATTTCGGCTTTCTAAAAGTAGTTTCAAAATCTCGTGTCTGCGTCGTAAGTTATTAAAGGTGAAAGGTAACAAAAATTGTTTTTTCACGAATATCCAGGTTTCTACAGCTCCAATGATGTTAACACCTATTGTAAAAATTGCAGAGCCTAAAAATTAGCAACACATTTTGTTTTAAACATTTTTTCAGGCGCTCAACCGTTTTTGATATAAATTAAAATGAAGTGAAAATTTACAAATCTCTAATAATTTAATGAACAAAAGTATTAATTTTCTCCTTCTTTTTCTTCTTCTTCTTCCTCTTGTTATTGTTCTTCTTCTTTACCGTCGTCAGGTTCTGGACGTTTGAAAATTTCATTGTCATCTTCTTCGTTGTTTCCAGTTCTAGAATTTCTGGGTCAAATGCACTCTCTTCCTCGAGATTGCTTTGCAATAAAACAGCAATGAGCCAAGCTTCCAAATTACACTGACCACAAGCTGAAGTGCATTGCAATCCCGATATTCTACACCCGCAGCATGGACCACTTCCATTTTTATAATTACAAAATATAGTCTTAAGTTATTCATCTGTAGCTGGTGGTAATATTGTTATTGGCTCCAGAAATTCAGTTTGCTGCTCGCGACCCCATGTCTGGGGTTCCAAATCATGCCTTAACCATTTCTGAACTTGGCAATAGACACGGATTATATACTGATGGGATATTGCACTTGTCGGTGAAAGATTAGACAATTGGACAGTAAGGTTAAATAAAATATTTACTTTAAACATTAAAAATTAAAGATCAAAGATTAAAGCTCATTACTAAGTGATTGCTTTATAAATTTATGAAAGAGGGTGTTAAATATAATAATAGAATGGTTTAAATGATAAAAAGGTACATGAAATGTTTGTTGCCGTCGAGTTGATCGGGTTGAAACATAAAGATTTATTTTTTAATTTATTTATTTTATTTAAAGTTCAGTACAGCTGCATCTGTTGATAATTTTGAAAAGTAATGTCAGGTCTCTCTGTTTTCTCCTAGTTTCCACAGAGGGGATGTTTAAGAAAATTCTCTATCAAACCATACTCGCAAAGGACACCCAATGTATAGGCTATGTAACTAAGAAATGTATGTTACACATTTTCTATGTTTCTGCTTTGCGTTATGTAATGTAGAGACCGGACAGAAGAGCTATAATCTAGGTGAGGTCGGACTAGTGAACAATAAAGAACTTTAATTGCAGTTGTTTCGGTAAAATCATGTGTTAGCCTTTTTATAAAACCTAACATTTTCATAGATTTATGGATCGCCTTAGGTATGTGTTGATTGAAGCTTAAAGCAGGATCTAGAATAACTTCAAGGTCTTTAATTTGATTAACAGACTCCAAGATATGACCATTTAAGTTATAATCAAAAGTAGTAGCTGGTACATGCCATTTAAGGAACACCAGTTTGATAGATTATCAAAATCAGACTGAAACCAGAGGGCAACATAAATGATGCTAATAATTGGAGCTATAGATCCTAGATAGTCCCAATAAAATATTTTTATAACCTTTCACCTTTAATAACTTAGGACGCAGACACGAGATTTTATGAGACTTTTGAGACAACTTTTAGAAAGCTATATTGAAGGTTTATACGAGTTTCCAGTTTTTTACCTCTCATTCCGAGGTTGACCCCTTTTTTTGCTTAAGTGACTGCATTATACATTTTATTACATCAACGGCAACCACAGAGTTTTTGAGATTACACATTCATAATAATCTCCATTAGTAGTTTTTTCGTAGTGATGCAAAAAACAAATGCAGCATCGGTGCTTCAACACTCGAGCACTGGGATGAACAACCTCTACAATTTAAATAGGGAAAGTATCAAGAATGACACCTTATTGAAAAGGCAATTTGATTGATAATTCGGCAAATAATTGGAAGCTAATTTTCTTACTAATTCAATGCTCCACTTAACATTAATCTAGATATCTTCATAATGCACTTGCAACAAAATAAATTTGGCCATAATGCAAGACAATAATTCAGTTTCAAACTGTTGAGGGTGCAATATAGAGATATTCAGATTAATATTATAGTGCAGTGAATTGGTAATAAAATAAGCTTTTAAATGAATTATCACTCTTGACAGTACGTCACATTTTATCAAGTTAGAGAGCGGTAAAATCAAAATTAATAGTCTTATTGTCGAATTATCTATCAAATTACTTTTCAATGATGTAACATCCTTGGTACTTTCCCTATTTAAAGGACAGGGTTTGTTCAACCCATTGCTCGAGGATTGAAGTATCTATGCTGCAAATTGAACAAAATGTATCCCTCCAAATTACTATACAATAGTTTTTTGTCTTTTTTTTGCATCAATACGAAATAAACTGGGTGGAAAGTTTTCAGTGGCCAACCCTGTATAGTTATTCATTTAATAATGACACTGTTTTTAATTAACCTTTTCATAATAAAGCATAAAATACACAAATGACATCACGGCTTGTCTGGCCCCAAAAAGTTGCAGTCAATCGATTTGGACACAATACTTTGCATCATTGTCACATACGAGTTAGCCATCCCTTCTCTTTCCTAGTCCAAGATAAAATCAGGGTAATAAGAGGAACTTTAAATACTACTTTTTTAATTACAAGGGGATATTTTAAAAGTGCCCAAGGCATCATTTTGTCATAGTCAACCATGTGTTGAATGTACAAAATCTACTTCCTATTCCTATTATTGTTATTATTACGAATTTAATCGAAATTAATTTTTAGTAGACTTAAAAGAATGTTTTGATGCATCTATACAGAAATACGTTTGTCTCAACTGTCCCACAAGGCAGTACAAAAACAAGCGCCATCTGTACGACCATATTCATTACGAATGCAACAAACTACTGCTGACTTGTATGAAAGACAACTGCGGAAAACAGATATTGAGAAGAAACAATATGAAAAGGCATTTGAAAGCCACTCATGGAGTAGTCGGTGATGATTGGGAAAAATATGTTGCGTACATCAGTGATGATCCTCTCATGGCTCCATCTTTGGTAGGAAATGTTCAGTTTATTTCCAATAAGGACGAATGGAAGACTCCAGATTGAGAAAGCATGCGAGCTAAATAATGGAAGTGGAGAAGGATAGAATCATTTTATTTTTTAAACTTAGAAGGGAATCTCATTCTTATTTTCTCATTTTATTTTTTAGTTAAATTTATTCATTTTGGTATGATAAACAAAATGTTACGCCTCAGTTGGCCTTGATCGATAAAGATAGTTGATAGTTATAATTAATTTATTAGATTTTTGTAATGTTTCTAGCTAGTTCTTTGGCGTCTAGAAATTTCTTTTTTTCTTGACTATATGTTTGTTCCTGACGCCCATACTATGTTTTTCATTTTTTCCAGCTTTTCACAGCTTTTTACTTGTCTACTATCTTTTGCTTATTAAAATATATTGACATAATTTGTAAATAATTCCTACAACAATTAAATAATTTGATTTGATTAATTTGGACAATCAATTTAAATTTATCGTGTTTTCTTTTTGTTTTAAACAATTCATATCTAATATCTTAATTTCTTCTATCTCTCTTCTTATTGATTTTGTTTTCATCACCTCATCCACTTTCTTACTATTGAGTACGATCTTTATTTAGTCGTCTTCTTTTTTTCTTATTTTTTCCTTGCAAAATCCCTTCGACATAGTGTTTTGTGATACTCTTGTCAGCTAATTTATTTTTCAGGTATTACCATTTCCTTTGTCTTTATCTCAAGTTTTCTCCGAATTTCTGTGTTCTTTGCTTTATTCATATTGCTGACCCATAATATTCTTCAGATGATCTTCAACTTGTATTCCCTTATATCAATTTTCTATAATTCTAATTTATACAGTTTCATACAATACTACAGGTAATTTATTTGTATTCTTCTATTTCACAGATGCCTTCTGTTGAAATTTCATGTATTTCTTCACTATTTTCTTCGAGAGTGACCAGTAATTTCATTTGTTCCCATTACTCCCTCCAAAAACCCCCTCTGATTTTTTTTTGATTTTCCTATTTACGTCATTCTTTTTGTTAATCTCTTACGATCCATTGTGGTTTGGACAACATTAGTAATTGGATTTTTCTCGTATCTATCATCTTCCTAAGATATTTTATCTCTACATTTGTGTTATCTTCAGGTATTTTTATGTAGGGTCATTTGAGGACATAAGTAGTTTCTGATATCATCACCTTCGTCTGTAAACTTTTATATCTTCATATTTTTCTTTTTTTAGATTTTGCTACGAGTACAATGTCTGCTTACATGAATTCTAAATTATATTATCCTCTTTTAATGTTTATTGCCCTTTTTCTTTTATTTTCTTTACTATCTTATTCATTATTACAAATAGTAACGGATTTAAGCTATCTCCTTGCTTCATATCTCTGTTCATATTAAATTGTGTTAATATTTTTCTAGGATTGTTTCATAATTTAACCATAAAGATTTAAATATTTTATATTTAGATACATTTAAAAAGAATCACACAACTGAGTATTTTTGAGCAATTCTGATATAAAAATGTTATATATTGTGAATATACGTTAATTTTGTTAATTTTTTAAATAAACACATCTCATTTTGGAATGTCTGTTTTAATTTAAATTTACTAATACTGCGTGTATGCTGAATTTAAACTCAATTTAGTATTGTTTTGTCGAATATGTCTAATATTATTGATTGATGTATTGAATACTAAAGTTTTCCTTTTTTAGTTGGATTTTTCGATCCTCACAACCAAAGATATTTCTGCAAACAATGCAACAAGAGCTACAAACACCGCAGGCATCTCTCCAGCCACATCAAATACGAATGTAGAAAATCTCCAACGTTCATATGCCCCATCTGTGCCAAAAAGTTTTACCAAAAGTATACTCTCAATGCCCATTGTAGACACAACCATGGGGTGAACCTGTGAAGTTATTACTAAAATTAAATTGTATGATGTAATTAATGATTAGGAATTTTTGTTTTTTGGATAAGTTAGAGGTATGTTTAAAAAGTAATGAAACTAAAATTCAAATCATTTAACTCACAGTATCTGTATCTGTAACGTGTGGAGGGTGGGTTACCCCCACGGCACTTAGGCCTCATTAGGCCCATTGTGCATTCTCCTAAGATGATGGGCACCTCCTAGCATCGTGAGCCAGCCTACAGATTTAATGTAGTTGATAACGTCGCCAAGAGGTGCTTCTCTTATATCGGCCGGTGTTAGCCGATACTCGCCGAATACAAATCTTGTAATAAATGAGAGCGTCAGGCAATCGTAAAGGATATGCTCGATGCTCTCATCTACTTGTTTGCACCCTCTGCAGAGTGCGGATTCTGACAGCCCCATGATATGGAGATGCTTCTGCTTCCGTACTTGGCAATGACCAGTCAGAATGCCTGTGACTAGGCGCAGATTTTGTCTAGTCATAGTCAAGTATTTGTTTGTTGCAGTGTTGTCAGGATAACCTAAGAGCATCCTGGCAACTCTGCAGTTTCTTGTTTCATCCCATCTTTCCTTGAATTTCACAAGGGAATGTTCTTTGATTAGGTCTATCACTGCCGATTTTGTCAGACCAATAGAAGGGCCAAGTCCAAAAAGTATTTGGTTGGCTGCTTTCTTGGCTTGCCAGTTTAGAATTGATTTTTAGATACCAGTTGTGAATAAAGTGATATATTAGTGTTTGACTGCGAGAGTTTAAAAATGTTGGTGTGGTACCTTTATTTAAAATACAAAGATTTTTGGTAATTATATAATCATAAAGTGACTTACCTCTAGCGTTGTTATCCTTACTGCCCCAAATGAAGTGAAGAGCGTTTGAGTCGCAACCTATTATTAGCTTAAACTTCTGTTCCAGGCAGTATTCAATCAGATCCTCCATCTCTTTGCTGGGTGGTGGCGTGGTTGCGTCGGAGGGGAGGTATGCAGATGTCAGGATTAACGTTCTCTTTTCCCTTTTAATGGCGTATTCCATCCTAACTGCAGTTAAATCGGAGATGGAAAGGTGTGCCATTGAGTGGGCTTTGTATTTCCTAGGAATGTAAATGGCTGTCCTAGGTTGTTGGTTGCTGGGAAAGCTAAAAATTGAACCATTTAGATTTTTAAGACCTAAAATTTTGGTTTTTATTATCCAGGGTTCCTGGATGAGTGCTATTGTATCTCATCAAGGCGGCGGCATAATGTTTCCGTAGCCACCCTTTTGTGCTGCAAGTTACATTGTATAATCGTTACCTCTTTTATTGCCTCCCGGTCCTCCGTTGAAAATTAGGCAGCAAGATGGTTATTTATTCGACGATCTCTTCCTCCGAAAGTGGGGAGGGGGTGGTCTCTTTTGGCTCCTCGGAGTTTTTTTGCTGGAGGTCACCGATTACCATTTTGTCTGGCTCGTCGTCCTCCACTGTTGGCTTAAATTGGGTAGGAAGAGGCTCCTTTACCAAGGAGTCTTCACTGGGCCTCTTTTTCAAACTTTGGCCTTATAATCAATGAGGTGAACGCATAGTTCATCCTCATTGATTTGGCCTTTAGGGTTCCCATGTCTTCGTCTCCGATGCCGAAGACGAAGAGATGGCCCTTAGAGTATTTTTTGATTTCATGGTGGAAGGTGCACCATTTCACCACATGCAAGTTTGGGTTTTGCCCCTCTAGTCGCCTGAGCACAACCTCTTTCTCGTCAAGGTCAGCTTGCGCTTCCCTTGGGATCCAGAGAGAGGCTTTGGTGAGCTTGAGGAGCTCGTCCATCCTTATAACGACAAGTGTTGCTTCTTCCCATGTTGTTAAGGTCGGTACCTTGGTTTTTAGCCATTCCAACGTCAGGTCATCGTCGCAAGTTACTCTGTTTCACCAAAGTGCGACCAAGACCTGAATGTGGGTGGCTTGGTTTTGCTGCAGAAGGCGGACAAGATTGTTTTGTCCAGCTCTCCCATCAGTGTCTTTTTGTGTGTGGTCACATCAAACAGTTTTGTATATTAGATCCAAACTTCACACAGCGTGGGCGCCGTGCTATCAAAAGAACAGGAGGGGGAAGAAAAAGCAATTGCATACTTTAGTAAGACCTTGGGGAAAGCTGAGAATAATTATTGCGTCACTAGGAAAGAACTCTTAGCTAATGTCAAAGCCCTTGAATACTTTCACACTTACTTTTTGGAACCGTTCAGATGTTCCTTGACACAAAATTGATATTTCTAGACATTTCTAGACTGTTCTCTCTTCTGTTATTCAAATTTTTACTCATGAAAAGCGCAGCACACTATAGGGTGATAAGTGACATTGCATTTTATTTTTCGTACGTTTCCTATAACAGCCGCAGGCTACTGCATGATGCAGGGTAACAATATATACTTTGTCAGGCTATTTCAGGCTCAGATAGTGAACTGTCATGCAATTTTAATGTTAATATACCCCTATAAACTGAAAAAGACTTAAAAAATCACTAATAGGATTTCACATGTCACAAAATATCACCAAGATCAGTAGATCATTTGGGAAAAACAAAACGTAATAATATCAATACTTTAATGGGCATTTTAAGTTTCGCGATACACTCACTTCTCTAATAGTAGTTTACGGTATGAGCCCGTTGCCTAGATCTTTACGTGCGAGCACGTAGAGATCAGGTAACGGGCATGTATCATACAACGTGTTATGATATACCTAAATTCACTACGTTTCACAACCTAAAATCAAATAAAATTTTATCATTTGAGACCATCATTATAAGTTTCCGAATATGACTTAAAATAATGACAGTTCAGTTACAACTGACTGTTCAGTCAAAATGTTACCGGGTTAGCTCGTTATTACTCACTTAACAACCACTTAAAAACCATAAGCAGACGTTGATTACCACATTGCAGTATATCATAAATTAATTTCTAACCTATTTTTGAATTTAAACACTGTGTAGCAGTATCAGTATTATTACTTTTTAGATAAACCTCTTAGTAACGCTGGTCTTTACTCTTGATGCGTCTTTTTGTTTTGTTACCAGTTAAATTAAACTAACATATTTGTAAATGAATGAGTGAACATAAATAAAGGTTTGTAAAAATATAATGGCGCTACATCTGGTTGTCCAGTGAGCTGTTTTCTTTCCATTGCCTCTGTTTATTTTATATATTTATTGTTTCAATGTCTTTATTTACTTCTTGTTTTGTAGAAATCCTTTGTGTGAACTGTAATAAATATATTAAGAACAAAAGGTCTTTCTACCATCATAACAGAATATATTTCTGATGTTTTTGCGCTCACAATGTTATTATATTAAGGAGTATTAAAAGACACGTTGTCTGGAGTTATAGAGTTGAAAATACATACACAAAATATAAATGCATTAATATAATAATAATAATAATAATAATAATAATAATAATAATAATAATAATAATAATAATAATAATAATAATAATAATAATAATAATAATAATAATAATAATAATAATAATAATAATAATAATAATAATAATAATAATAATAATAATAATAATAATAATAATAATAATAATAATACATTATGGTTCAAAAATAAATTGTTGGGGAAAAACGTGAAAAGGTTATAAAATCCATATCTAATGATAGAATATTAAGGATAATATTAATAATAATGTTAATGTTGATAAGTGACTAAGGACACAAAGACGAAAAAGACGTTGTGTCCTAAAATCAACCGTTTTTTTATATCCTTTCTAACCAAAGTCGTCTATATCTCGTTAAATGGAAATTTAATTGACATTTTTGATTACATGTTAGTTATGCAATAGCCCAGCTAGCACAGACAAGTGATTTTCACGTGAAGTATACGTTATATTTTACGTCGAAATTACCATTTATGACGTGCTGGTGACGTGATTATGACGGCAATATGTCACAGATCAAGACGTCATACAGAAATGTGATAAATACGTCACCAGATTACGTGTGTAGACGTCAAAATAAACACCACAATACTTATTTAAAAATGTTTAATTTATAAAGAAAATGTTCATAAAAAAACGTTTTATAAAAAAAAGATAGGTATTGCATTCTTGTTACTGCATAAAATTTCTGAATTAAAACATAGTAAGTATACTATCCTGAACTATCTGAACTATTACTAAATAAACATCACTTCTTAGAATATGTACTTAGAAAGATAAATTAAAAAAGTTTATAAAGCAGGGTCCAGTATTCAACAAATCATTCCGAGTACCTATAGGTACAGGTACTACTAGAAACCTAATTATTTAAATAAAATGTGAACCAAAAACAGAGATATTACATGTACATAATGCCAACACATGCCTCAGAATGAAATCAAAATTATTTTATATCATGAAGCTCTCACAAGAGTGATATATCGATGATTCACACCTTATTATAAACATACAGTATAAAAAAAATCAGACCTGACAAGAGAAATCAATAAAAAAACTTAAATATGTAGAATACGAGA